TATGACAGATGCTAACACCCCATCCAGATTCCCTCAGCCAACCCCCGAGGTTGCGTGTGGCTTTGGGGGACAGCTACCCATGACCCTGACCGACAGCATCCAACCTCAGATCCCCACATCTTCATCCTCAGGGCCCTACAAGCCAGGAGTGTGCTCAGTCCTCATGTGGGGAGTTCAGAAGCACTGGATGGGCTGGTGCGTAGTGCGCCTGAAGCAATCCTTGGCCAACAAGGAACAGATGTTGGCAGAAGAGTGCCCCGCACCCTCACACCTGAGTGGAGCGGCTCAGAGGCCTGTTGGACACAGTCTCTTGAAGGTTCCATGGCACCAAGCTCTAGCTGGCCACAGTGTCATCATCCCACCCCTTGTTGGCTTTCCCCCTCTCTGATCTCATTTCCCTCTGCCTCCATGCATTTCTTAGGGTCATCTCCAACATACTACTCAGTCTAGGTCCTTGCACCATGGGCTGCTCTGCAGGAGCCCAGATCCCAACCTAAGAGGACAGGCCTCACAAAAAGCGATCTGCACTGGGCTCAGAGTAGAGAGCCGGAGGCAGGGAGGCCGTCCTGTGTGTGCAAGGGGAGGAGCAAGGCATCCCCACAGAGGAGGCTGAGCTGGGCCCCGAAGAAAGCAGAAAGAAGGGGTGGGGGGAGAAAGTCTGCGAGAAGGCCCCAAGACAGGTGTGCCTGGGCTGTGGTCAGAGCTCAGTGAGCTTATGGGTCTAGAGGAGACCTCCCTGGAACTCTCCAAGCCTCATGATGGTCTTTGACCCAGCCAAGGCCACCCTTATTGGTGACACAAACCTCTCTTTACCTGGAAACCACCAAGACTAAGAGGAAACATTTAAGTGACTTTCCCAGCATATGGAGAGAAATGTCTGTGGGCAAACTGTGTCCATCCCACTCGTGCATACAACAGGTCCCCTCCACATCCCAGCTCTGCTGAGCAGGAGCGCTGCTCAGCAGCCCCTGCTGAGCTGGCTCAGGCCCAGACCCCAACATTACGTGCAAGCATCCTGCTCTCCAGAGTTCTCTCCGGAAGTCCTAGGAGCTGTGGATCGGTTAGTGGGGAAGTTGAATTGTACTCCAGGCTGACCTGCACAGGCAGCAGGAACCAGCCCTCATGCAGGGCTCCCAGGAAGGACTGGCCTTTGCGATTCTCACCATCATCACAGTCAGCGCACACAGGGACCTTGGGAGAGGGTTGGGGTCCTCAGGCTTCTGCCATGCCCCCTCCAGGGACCTTCCTTCCAAAGGGCCGAGGGTCTAGAGGGCCAAAGATAAAGCCTGGGCTCTGCCCTACTTCAGAGACAGGTGATCCCTCTCACTCCCTGGGACCCAGGCCCACCCCAAATAGGGGCAGAGATGCTAGAAGCAGTGATGTCTCATCAGGGGCCAGGAGAGTGAAGGGTAAGCCCTTAGAGATTTGGGTGAAGAGCATTCCAGATGGAGGGGGCGTGAACGCCGAGCCGTGGGCAGGAGCATGCTCTGGTGGCTGGTCTGTCCTTCCACATGCCCACCTCTTCACATGCCCTGTGTGGGCTTGCTGGATGGGGGTCAGGGGTGACCCGGCTCAAGATAAGAACCCAACCCTGGGGTATTGACACTCTCTTGTCCAAGCTGAGTAAGGGAAAGAGGAAGATCAGAAAGCAGAGGTTGCCTGGGCCAGGCCTCAGGCCCTGTGAGGCAGATGAGGGCCAGCCAGGGGCTCAGCATCCCTGGCACAGAGGGCTCTGCTCCGGCCCATGCCAAGCACTGGGAGGGCTTTTCTTTCTTTATATTCATCTGTGCTTTCCAAACATTCTTTGATGGACACATATTTCTTTCTATAAGACAACTGTTTCCAACTGGCAGCAGCACGGACAGACTTTAGCTGAAGGCCAGACCTAGCAGATCCACAAATGCCCATGGTTCCCCCTCGAGGAGCCCCTCCCATCTGCTCCCATGGTGACACCAGGGGACAGGAAGGAAAAAACAAACTGGAACTTGGTAAGCTGTCACTCGTAGGGGCCTTGCTAAGCGGCTCTGCACCCTGGAAACCAAGGCCTGCCTTGGGTGGGGAGAGGTTGCCAGAGGACCATCCTTGCTGGAACTAGAAGCATCAAAGGGTGTCCCAGTGAGAGGGTTGGGACTTCGACTAAAATAGGCAACTCCGTGGGTGCAGAAATGCCACCATTGGATATCTTCCCTCCGGTGTTCATGGCTCCTCAGAGCCGTAGGGACACTAGAGGACCTAAGGAACCCTGGCCAATGGCTTCATTATTTGAGGCTGAGATTAATGGAACGAGCAACTGCTTCTGGGACAAAGAAGGATTTAGGATTCCCTTCCAGGAGCCCCCTGGCTCATCTCTGGCCCCACGTACTCCAGGCATGCTGAGGGCCTTCAGTAAGGACAAAGGGACAAAGGAAGTACCTGGCATCCCACCTCACCCCACCATTCCTTCCAGCCTTGTCTCATTCCCCCTCCACACCAGCTTTCTCCAGCCACTACACTGCTTGCTTCTGCAGGTGTTCTCCCTGTTGCGTGGTCTTCCCGCCCTGTCCTTCATCCTTCTGGGCTTATGCTGGAAGCCCTCCCCAAGGGAGGCTGCCTCCACCGCAGCCTCCTGAGCTGCCCCTCTGGGGGCACCTCTGACGTCCAGGACGGGAAGCTCTGTGGGTTGTGTCCCAATGTGCCACCGGCACCAGGCACAGATCTGAAAGTAAATGCTGGCAAAAGCACAGCGGGTGTGGGTCTTGGCAGGGTGGGAAGGCCAGGGGCCCAGAGAGCTGGCCCCTCCCCACCATCTTCCTCCAGGTTGATCTCTAGACATGTGCATACCTTCCCAACCGGGAGCTGTGTGCTGGGCAGTGCTGGGGGTGGGCTGGGGGGGTGGAGCTAGGAGCCTCTGAACTCACAGGGAACTGTAGGGGTGGAAGCTGCGGAGCAGAGCAGAGCCTGGAGAGGTGACAGCAGCCCGCCTGATGGACCCACCTCAGTGCCTTCCCTGGTCTGCCAGCGTAGGAGCCCTGCCTGGGCTGCGGGCCACTCACGGGAAGTCTGTGCCCCGTCCTGGTCTGAGGGAGGACACGCATCTGCCCATCCTACTAGCCTGCCCCTCCCTCAGGGAGCCCGGCTCTGCGTAGTCCCCACAGGCCCTCCCATCGGAACCTCCCTCCCTAGCCATGCTGCTCCTGTATTGCATCCTGGCTTCTGCTGGGAGCTGGGGGAAATACTGGGACAAACTCTTCTTCCCCTTACCCCAAACTGACTTTTATCCGGGCCCCAAGGAAGAAGAAAAGGCCAGCTGGCCACCACATCTCCCCCGGGGCAGGAGTGGGTTTATCATGGGACAAGGTCAGTGTCTTCAACACTGTGCACCTCTATGGACGTGAGAAACGGGTTTGCGCATCGGTGGCTCTGAAAGCTCCCAGGAATGGGTATCCCTCCAGGCCAAAGAGGGATATCAGCCAGGTTAGGATTATGGGAGAGCCATTCTTCTCAGTATGGAGACTCCCAGAGAGCAAATAAATTTGATTATATTGAACACAACAATTGATTTTTTTCTAAATAAACATGCAGGAGAAAATGGTAACAGACATCTGTTTCTGACGACAATCAATTGACCCCAAATTAGAAGAAAATCTAGAAACACAAGCACGAGAAAAAGTGGTTGGGCCTCCCAGGTGTGTCTAGGGAGGGATGGAGGAAGGGAGACAGACAGACAGACTCCCCCACCAGCCTTTCCCTACCAAGTAGCTTCTTTGTTTGTTGCTCCTCAGCAAATGCAGTTTTGGTAACCAGGAAAGAGAAAGTAGCTATGATTTTATAGGCCCTGACGCGGTGCCGAGCCAGCACAGAGCCCTTTCTGTGCGTATCTTATTTAACCCCCGCAAGAGCCCCATGGGGAGGGCCCTGTCGTCCCCAACTCAGATGAAATCACCAAGGCACCATGTCCAAGGTACACGTTCAGGCTGCAGCAAAGCCAGACTCACACCCCGTGGGCTCCCGGGCCAGTGCTCTCCAGCACTGCTTCCTCTTGACTCCCCAACACTTAACTATTACCTGGTACCCTCCAATGGTCTTAGAACGAAGGGGAAGAGCCCCAAACCCACCAGTCCCACCCCAGCCAGCAGCCCAGGGGCCTTCAGTGGGATGGGAGCAAGGAGCCCATGCCCGTGCCCCAGGGCTCAGTGAAGCCAAGAGCCAAAAAGTCTCCCTCCCCCAGGAGGGTAGGGAGAAGCCCCTAGAGGGACCACCTTGCCCTGCTCACAGCCCCACAGCCTCAGCCATGTACTGAGCCCTGGATGGAGTTCACCCCAGTTGGCCCATCAGCAGCAAGGGCAACTACATCATGTCACAGGGCATCATGGGCCGCATTTGCCAAAACACCGCGTGGTTCTGCGGCCACCTGGCAAACACGCTTGGGGAGAACACAAAGAGTCCCAGGCTACAGGCCTCAGTTTTCATTTCTTAAAGCTTCCTTTTTTGTTGTGGTCATAGAATTGTGTACACATGTTTGTTTTGAAGTAATCCAGCTCTGGGAACGTACCTAATTAACTTAAGCAGGGCTTATTAGTCCTGTTAACTCAAATTCCCTCATCTCTGAGGCCAAGTGTTCCAAAGCAGCCTTTTAGGTGGGATTAAGGCAAAGGCGAGCAATTACAGAATGGAACTGGGGCCAGCTTTCCTAAAGCTACCGTGGGCCACACAGCTCTGGGATGCATTCCCCCAGACCAGCCTCCCCGCTGCACGCGGCGGTTGTCCTGGGTCTGGCATATAGTAGGTGCTCAGTAAATACTGCGGGGCAAGCCGACTGGCTGCTCCCAGCTGTGTGTCCTGTGAAGCATGTGTTCTGTGTTTAGCAAATATCAGGCAGACGGACAGACAGGCCCCATCTTCTCAGGTGCACCCACACTGCCAACAGTAAACGCCCGAGAACTCCCCACCAGCGGGGTGGAGAACATTCTCTCCCCACCAGTGGAGGAGCCTCAAGGCAGTGACCTCCTCATCTCTTCCAGATGACCCGTGCACCATGGCCAACTATGGCCGCTTGAAGAATGTCCTTCTGGCGCTCCAGGCCCACCGGCAGCCACTCCCGGACAGGGACAGCAGACAGGACCCCGCCTCCCAGAAGCGCCTGCTGGTGGAATCTCTGTTCACGGACTTGGATGCCGACGGGGACGGCCGTCTCAGCAGCTCTGAGCTGGCGCAGGTGGGTCCAGCATGCACCGAACACTGAACTGGGGAGCTGTTCCATTCGGTGTGCAGATAAGGAGAACCAGGGAAAGCCGTGTGAGCAGAATCCCTTGTAACTGTCTCTATAAAGGATGCTAAGCAGGCCTCCCTCCTGCCAGGGCCACCCTTCCCCTGGGAGTCCGAGAGCTCATGTTCAGTGCCTCTGAGAGTATCTTACAGACAAACCCATGTCAGTGTCTTCTTCCCAGCGGCCACCTTCAGCCAATATTGACAAACAAGCTTCGACGCCTTCTCGGCTTGCTGGCAAAAGACGTACTTTCGAGGGGCTGGTCTCTGATGTTCTCATTAGGAAATAAGTCTCCTCTTCCTTGAGTCCTCTGCCTGCCTTAGCAGGATGTTGAAAGGAAGCAGGAGCTGAGGGCTATCGTCTGGGCAGCCCCGAGTCCTCTCCTCGAGGACCTGGCCATTCTGTAGGGTCCAGATAGCCAAAGCCCAACACCCAGCCTGCTTGCTGGCAGGAAGCCCTGCGTACCACCACCCACCCCCCGACCCAAGCGCTCTTCCATTTGAGCAGACTTGGGATTAGACCCGGTAGTCTGCCTCCCTCCCCAAGCACAGCACACGTGTCCCCGTCTCCAGCTCAGAGGTGACACTGCAGCAGTGACCCTCTGCAGCAGAAAGTGAAGAAGGAGGAGCCCGGGGCACCAGCCCCATCCTGCTACAGGGAGGACCTTATTAGGAGGCCGGCAGACAGGCAGGCCAGGGAGGCCAGGGAGGCCTACCTTCCTGCTCCCACTCTGCTGGTCTCCCCCTTATGGCCTGGAGCCACTCCCCAGGCAGGTGCCAGGATATGCAAGGAGGGGGAGGTCAAGTAGGCTGGTGGGATGGGGGCAGCTCTTCCTCAGAGCCCATGGGATACCCACCCAAAGGATAGATACTATGGATGAGTCCCCACCTTTGATGCCACTTTAAAGACATCCTTCGTGGAGCACAGTGACCTGAGCAAAGCTGTGGCCAGGTCAGTAGGAAGGACACGGCTGGTGAGTGCCCTGGCATTTACCGAGCATCCTCTATGTGTGTGGCAATAAACAAGGCCCTTTACTTATGACATAGGAAACAGAAGAGTCCCTTACTGTGTAGTGTAATCACTAAGAACACAGACTTTCTGGTCAAGCTTCCTGACTGCAAGCCCTGCCTCCGGGGTTGACTAGCTAGTGGGTGCTGGGAGACCCCCTCACCTCTGTGCACCTCCGTTTCTTGCCTGTGACTGTCCCAGGGTCAGTGGGCCAATTAAAGGAGCTAAGGCACTTGAGGTGTTCTGCATGGTTCCTGGGATGTGGCACACTCAGGAGGTGGGAATGCTGGGGTCAAGGCCACCATCATTGTCTTTGTTGGTATTTCCCCCTCAACCCTTTCGGCCGTCCTCTGCTGTAGGAGGCACTGCCATTATCCTCACTGCACAGATAATTTTAGGTGAGAAAAAAACTAAAGGCTCCAAGAAAGCACGCAACTTGCCCGAGTTGTGTTCATTGCCAAGAACGTGATGGTGCTCAGACAAGATGCCAGGGGTGACAGGGGTGGGGCAGATACACGGGTACCTGCTCTCCTCACCGAACAGTGGTCTCCCTGGGGGAGAATGGCTCCCACCAGAAGGCTCCACCCTGTCCTCCCAAAGTCTGTGATGCCAGAAAGTACCCACAAGACCTGAGTACAGAGCAGTCACCTGGAGGCCTGGCCACGCAGGGCCCTACTCTTAAAGCCCTCTACTCCAGCCAGCCCAGAGCCTGCTTTCAGAATGTGCACTGGGAACCACAGACTCTCGGGGTCTGCTCATCCACAAGTGGGCTACACATGCCAGTCCATTGAAAGCCTGCCTCCCCGGAGGCCGCTGCCCACAGCCTCCCAGGCACACACCATCCCAGCCCTGGCGACCACCATGCCACCATCTGCAGGCATACTTGACTCCCAGCTATGGCGAAGACCCCAAGGAGCAGGGCCAGCCACCCACACATGACCCGTGCCATTCTGGGAAAAGCCCAGGCCCTGTCAGTTACAGTTACCCGAGAGAAGAACCATCTGGCAGGTCCCTTCACTAGAGACTATACCGGGAGCACCGAGAACAGGGGACTTTGGCTTGTCTGAGACAGAAGCACCTGTGGGCTCTTGCCACCCAGCTCCATGGGGCTCCCAGGTGGCCAACAGGTAGATCTTTCCTGGGCAAGTTGCTCTAACCTGGTGGGGTTGAGCCCAGAGGCACCTAAAGCCATTAACAAGCATGGTAATTGGGTTATGATTTCCTCTTTAAAATTTAATGTATTTAAAGTCCATTTCATAAGCCTGCCAAGCAAAGCCCAGCTAAAAGGGCCTTTCCCTGACACTGAATCAAAGGCGTCAAGGAAAAACGTGTCAGTCCTATGAAAAGTTAATCAATTTCCAATGCAGAAATAGACAAGGGGAAATTTCCATCTCCGCAAGATTGATTTCCGGCGTTATGGTTGATCTCCCTTTTATTGAACACTTACTTGCTGGGTGAGGGGTCATTTTTTTTAACGTTATCACATTAAATTGCCTTTAACATAGCAGGCCAAACTGAGACTGTTAGAGAGAAAATGTCTCTGTCCCCCTCCCCCACCAAAATGAAATGAAATAATTTCCTTCCTTCTGAGATTTTATTCTGAGCATTTTCCTTGTAAGAATTTAGCCCCAGACACCCAGCCTCTGGCTCCAACTGAGCAAAGGTGCCTGGAATTTCCACATAGGGTCACCTTTTGGCATGTGGCTGCGCGTGCTGGGGAGACCACATCCAGAGAAAAGTTCGCAAGGGTGCACCCATATCACCATGCCAGAATCCCATGGGCAGACGTTTATGGCCCTGGCAGATGGGGCAGGCAACGGCAGGGAACACAGGCCCAGTCAGTAGAAAGGCAGCTGCCCCCTTCCAGCAGGAGGGGCACTACAGTTCCGAGGTGCTGCCCTGAGATCCAGAAGGGCTGGCTAGGGGCATGGGCAGGCATGCACTGATGCAACAGTGACCTTTCCTTGGTTCCCACACTGAGCTCACCAGCTGTTTCTTTGCTGAGTTGATCTAATCAGGCCCCTTCTCTTCTCTGTTTCCCTGTCTGTGGCATGAAGGGGTAGACCAGGGTCTTCATGGATTGTGCCCAACTGAGAGCGTTTGGGGTCTGTCCACCCAGATAGGGAGAAAACCTACCTGAACGCCCATCCTGTCTCTGCCCCAACCACTGTGTGACCTTGGGAAAGTCCCTGCCCTCTCTGAGTTTCATCTCTAGAATGAGAAGGTCAGGACAGAGAAAACCAGAGAGCTTGGGGTCCTCCCCATGGCCCACAGAGCTACCACAGGAGCACTCATCCCTCCCTCATGGGGCCACCGCAGGTCCTCTTGGCCTGAGCCGTCTCCCAGCCAGGCCCATAGCCCTGCCCTTACTGCCTGCTCTGGCCTCATCCCTTTCCTCCCCCACAGCACGTGCTGAAGGAGCAGGATCTGGCAGACGACTTCCTGGGGTGCTCACCCGGCGACCTCCTCCGATTTGATGACTACAACAGTGATGGCTCCCTGACCCTCCGCGAGCTCTACACAGCCTTCCGTAAGTCACCAGGGTGGGTTCAAGCTCTGGAGCCTGTCCTAGGTTGTCACCAGCCCTGGTTTCTTTTACACGTGAAAGCAATTGAATTTGTTTTGCAATAAGCCTGAGCTTTGAGAACAAGGTGGAGGAGTATGGGTGGGAAGAGGGAGCACTTGCTTCTGCTCTTTTTGGAGAAAGGGTCTTCTGGATGTTGTCAGAGGAGCCTAGGACTGTGATATATGTGCGTTTGGGCTGGCTGGGGGGAGGGGTCTACGACTGCGCCTGGAGGAAGGGGCTTTTGGGGTTTTTCCAGGCTGCCACCTGGTGGGGCTGAGCGCAGATCCTGCAGGAGGCTTCTGGAGGCTTGGCCAGGCAGGAGCAGAGAGCTTCAGCAGTGACCTTATGTAGTTCAGCAGTGAGGAGAGGGGAGGTCGCTGCCAGACCAAACCTGGGAGAGGAAGCCCCTTTATGTCAGAGAACACCTGCTTAAAGCAGGTGGTAAGTGCATCCTGCCTGGGGCACCGTCAGGCACTCCTGGCAAGCTCCCCACTCCTAACAGCAGGCCCTGGGATTTGGGGAGTAAGCGTGAAAGTGCCAGGGTGCACTGAGGACTCCTAGCCACAGCTCCTAGCATCCTCTCCCCCAACCCCAAACTTTACATGGACTTCCACTTGCCAGAAAAGCGTTCCACTCCACATTGACATCCCAGGCATGGTGTTACTGCAAACGTTCACCAGACGTGGAAAGGAGGCCTGGTGATTCGCTGGCAGGAGGGGCTCTTGTGGTAGACAGCGGAGGTAGTCCCATGCTGTGAGGAGAGAAAGGAGTATGGCTCTCCCCCGTGGGACGTGTCCGTGAGCTTGACAGGGGGGGTGTCTTTCCAGTTCCCAGCATCCCTGTGGCCGCGGCTCAAAGTCTAACCCCAATTACGGGGCTCTGCTGGATGCACTGTGACGAGCCGCGGTTCCCCATCATCCTCCCCCCTGACCGCTCCTGACACTCATATCAACGTGTACTAGTTCATAATGAGGTGTGAATGACTGGTAGGCTTCACTGGCTGGGGGAGGTGTTCGCTTTGTGGATAGAGTCATTTATGCCTTGAAATAAATCTCTGAATTTTAGAATGTGTGGCAGCATCAGCAGCTCCCTAGGCCCAGCTCACGAGAGCCAATTACTAGATTTTTCAGGAACTTTGCCGTTAAACAATTGAGAGCTTTAAACCAGCCATGGTGGGAGTATTTACACCACAGAAATTTATACCACAGGAATGCTACAAAAGTGGGGGGAGCTTTTTTCCCTCTGGGGAGCCAGTAGCTAAGCACTGACCTGCCCATCACGGGACAAGTCCCTCCCTCCTGTCCTTAGCACCCCCTCCCACAATATTCTCTCTACCTTCCCCAGACAGAGACCCCCGGATGATCTAATCCCATAGAACAGGACCCAGAGAAGAAGAGAAGCCAGGGAGACAGGCCTCCAGGTCAGGAAAGCAGTAGCTGGTGTCCTGGGGACAGCTCTGAGACATTCCCACCAATGCTTTCTGGGCTCTGGCCCCTCGGCAGAAGATCCTAGGAAAGAAAGGGTCAGTGCATTTTCAGAGCCAGGGGCCAAGGCTTGATGTCAAGGACTTGGAGGTTGCACCAGGCATCAGTTCCTAGATGTCCCAGGATAACGTCACTAAACAGAGCACGGCGCTGCTTAGCTCCATCCTGGTTCCCAGCACCACAGAAGCCTCTGCTCCATGAGGTCTGCTCCTGGGAATCAGGCAGGGCCAAACAGCAAACTACTGGCTTTACTCTGGAGGAAACGCAAGTGTCCTGGTTGCCCATGATAAGAGAGAAGGCCTCCCTGGGTCCCCTAATGAAGGTCGTTATAAACATGAGCTACCTATGGAAAAGGAGGGAAGTCATCGCCTCACCTCTGTCTGTGCTCAGCCATGTGGGGTCTATTTCCCTCAATCCTGGATTATTATTTGAAAACCTTTATAATCATCATTTTATAAAATTAGATTCTGCTATGGCCTTGGACTTGTTTTGAACCAGGCAGCCAAACCATTCATCATAGCCCAACCCCAAAAAATAGATATGCAATAAAATGTAAACTCACTGCCATTAAGGAAGCCACAAAATTAGTTAACCCAGCCATAAAGGCCTGACATGCGGCCACACGGAGCCTGTGGCGTCAGTGGTTTTTCAAAGTCATAGGAACTCAACGTTGAATCCCCACAGCTCTGGGAATGGATTCATGGTTCAGTGACTGTTAAATAGGTCATTGAAATGAGACATATAGGTACAACTTATTACCCAGACATCAATGGACATTAAAGAAACCTCACTAAAACCTCGAAAGTAATATCTCACATATTTCGGCAACATTTTGGATTTAATTTTAAAACCTGGGGCTGATGGGCTGGCAAAGGTGGAGACTTGGAAATTATATTTGCTTTTTTTGCCAGTGTCCTTGGGCAGGAAGGACAGGGTCTGTGGGGTGACTCCTGGCAAGTCTCGGTCACTCTACTGAAGGATGGGTTCGGAGAACCTTTTCCTGCGAAGTGGGTTGTATTAAGTTTGGAGGGGCAGGGGAAGGGGGTGTTCTTAATCAGGTCTTCTCATGCAGCTGGCTTAGCTCAGACTGAGCCAGTGTTTGCCGCTGTCTGCAGCTGGCTAAGGGCTTTGCCAGGAACCCCGAGCTAGTGGCTGCCGTGCTCAGCTGGGCTGGTTCATGGTGGAGTGCCCCCTCCTCCTCTCTGCAAAACAGGTGACCCCGCCCCAGGGAGGGGTGCAGAGGGCCGGTCCCTCAGCCGTGGGAGTCAGTTCTGACTGTCCGATGGAGCGAAGCCTCCCGATCACCCATCTCTGTACACAGATAGCAGCGACATAGAAGGGGGGCCTCCATCTATCACCTAAACATTCTCTTCAAGTGGCTTTTGGCATTCTAGACCACAGTCTGATCTTGGAACTAAGGGCACATACCCGCTTCTCTCCCTTCCCCTGCACACACAGGACCCCGCTCCTTGCTGGGAGGCAGAGGCCCAGGCTCCAGGGTCCTTGGCGAGCACATTGTGCACTGGCCCTGTCCATTCATCACAATAAACTAACCTAAAAGTTGCTCGTTTAAAAAGCTTTTCAATAATGTATGTTGTTGCACTTTTCTGAATGTTTGGGTTGGGATCACGGGGATAACATGTTTCTTGAGAAAGATTTTTTCTCTCCCTTTAAATTCATCACAAGTTTCTTCTGCTTTTTAGAAAGATACCTGTCCTTTTAATTAATCCTGTGAGAGCGATGTGTTGGATGGGAAGGAAGGGTTGGAGCAGCGAGCTGTGCAGAATGAAGGGCTTCCTGCCTTCATGTGCTAGGATCACAGATGCATCAAGTCCGCAGGGAGAGCCTGTGGCCGCAGAGCCTCAGGGAGCTGCCTGTGCAGGAGCGGGACACCCTCCCTCCTCCAGCCCAATGGCAAGGAAACAGTGTTTTTTTTCTGCTGATGGCAATACCTCTGTATCCAGGGCAACTGTGAGAAACAGAGGAAACGGTCAGTGGACGAATTTATAAATGTTTTTCTGCCATCACTGCTACAACACAGAAGGAAGGGGGCTCCTGACCTTCCGCATCCTTGTTCCCTGGAAAGAGGAAGGCCAGCCACAGGCCAGACACGGCCCCAGACCTGCCGTCTCAGGCAGTCCTCAAGGCTCCCCGTGCCGAGCACATTGCAAACCTCAACCACACGTAATCTGTCCTACTCCTTAGTTGTGTGAGGTGAGTTCAGACTCAGTTCAGATGGTGAGGATGCTGCTTTATCCTTCTCCATTTGGTTCCTGAATGCTCGGTAGCAAATAGCAAAATTTCAGAGTGCGTGGAGACTATCAAAAACTTGATGGCTTACATTCTTGAGTTTGGAGAGCAAGTGATCCCTGTGCTTGGGTCCCGGTGCTGGTGAAGGCCAAGACCATTGTTGGCACGAGACACTTAACCTCAACGGGAAGAGAGACTGGTTGCCTCAAAGGACTTGTAAATCATGTGCCCAAAAATCTAAGTCATTGCCTTGGTCCCTCGTTTATTCAGCGGTATAAAACAGTTAAATGGAAGCAGCCACGGGAGGAAGTGAAAATCGGAAAACAGGAGGTGCTGGGAGTCTCACCACCATTCCCAAGGACAGAGGTGAGGGTGCTTCCTCCTCACCTCAGGTGTATAAAGAGGGCCTCCAAAGAGGCTTTCATGGGACCTTGCCATGTGCCCCTGAAGCCAAAGTCAGGGTGCCATCTGAATCAGGTTGCTTGTTAACAGAACTTGAGTTAATAGTGGACTCTTAATTATCAATTCCTATAAAACGATACCTAACATTCATCATGTGTCAGCACTGAGTATTATGACCCAATTTTACAGATGAAGAGACAGGAATTCAGGGCACTTAAGTAGCTAACCCACAGTCACACAGCCAGCAGGTAACAGAACCATGATTGAACCCAAATGCCTAATTCCAGAAGCCTCTCATCCATTTAAACACAGTTTACAACTCATCAGCTCTCTCCAGTAAGGAGAATCTCACTGTCCCCACAGTAGGTTTCCCTAAATTTCAAGTCCCAGCTCAATGGTCTCCTCCTCTAGGAAGTCTTCCTTGATTTCTCATCCTTCTGCAGAGCCCCACATATCTTTCTGTGTGTGTTCACATCCCTGAGTTCATCTCTACACAATAACAAGGCTATGGCCTATTGGTTAAGCGTAAAATCGGTTCAAATCCTCATTCTGCCACTTGCTAGCTATGTGACCTGGGCCAGTTCTTTACCAGAGCTAAAGACAAGCTTCAAGCTCCTCATCTCTAAAATGGCATGACAACCATCATAGGGGCATACTCCGGATTAAATAAGATAATACAGGTAAGGCTGTCAGAACAATAAGTTGCCTATGGGAAGTTCTAAGTCACCATGAACCGGGTAGGTCTGTGACAGACTTGAAGATTTTTGCATGTGTTCCCACAGCCCCAAGCTCCCAGCCCCGTCAGCCTACACCCTGTCATTGTTACCC